ACCACCCCCTTTTAAACAAGAGGGCGACGGGGAAGCCAGCGCACACGGGACCGGCTGGGAGGCCGAGAAGATGGGCATCCTCAGCGTGGACCTGCTGATCGCGCTGCAGATCCTGCCCGTGTTCTTCTCCAACTGCTTGTTCCTGGCGCTCTACGACTCGGTGGTGCTGCTCAGGCACGTGGTGCTGCTCCTGAGCCGCTCCAAGGCCGCCCGCGGCCAGTGGAGGCGCATGCTGACCTCAGAGGGGATGCGCTGCATCTGGAAGAGCTTCCTCCTGGACGCCTACAAGCAGGTGAGCTCGCCCAGGGGCTTCTTGGCTCAGCGGGCAGGGGGGCGCAAGCTCTGGGGCTGGCCGCCCCGGGGAGCACCGGGGTCAGGTTGCAGGAGCCCCAGCTGGGGGACCGGTGGTTCTGCTCATGGGAGCTCCTGCCTTGACTTTCTGCACCTGTCACACAAGTTAGATTTGGGGGCTGACAGGTGGTAAGCCCTCCTGACCCTGTGTGACCCAATAAGGAGTCTTTCTGAGAAGGGGCGCTGGATGGCTTGCTGCGCTTTCGGAGGAGAGGGTGTCTGTGCCGGCAGAGGACTTTGGGGCAAGCCTGGAGATGCAGGGCGTGGGGAGACTGCTGCGTTTCAGCTGCTCTTGTTGTGCACTGGGATTTGGACGGTCTGCCTGGTGAGACGCTGGGTGAGCCGGGCTGGGAAGGACAGCGCAGTGGGTGGCACTGCCAAAGCGAGGGAAGGAAAGGAACTGCTACTAAGCTCTCAGGGAGAGGACAAGGCTGCGCGAACTGGCCACAGCAGGTGCGGTCGCCGTGCTCTCTGCGCCGTTTCTGGGAGAGGTCAGAGTTAATGTCAGCAAGCCCGCGGTCAGCGTCACCCTCGACACTGATTCCGATTTGAACCCCTTTGAAGGGGTCACCAGGCCCCATGTCCCCAGTTACTAGGGACCAGTTTGCAAAAGGAAGATCTCAGCACCGACTGTCAGAACCACAGGCTTTGTGAGGGGAACCGCACTTGCTTTGGTTCTCAGACGTAAAATGAGTTGTCTTGGAAGGAGCAGATAGGTCTGTGGTTCGTTAAATTTCAAAGCTGTTGTAACCCATTCCTCGAGCACCGGAGCAGCGACCTCACTTACCTGCAGAAGTCACGGCCCAGGGCTGCTCTCGCAAAGCCAGAGTCTGGAGATTTGTTTCTAAGTGGAAGATGCTGGCGTTTTGCTGCTTGGAGCATCCTCAGCTCATCTGAAGGAGCGAAGCACAACATGCTCACATTGGCCCTTAGTCAATTTGTCCCCTCCCCCTGTGCCCATATAACTTCTGAAGGTCCCTGAGCAAGAAGAATGGACTCATTTGGCAAAAGTTGCTATCAGTGCAGAAGTCTCGGTTTTGCCTAATACTATTGGGGACCTTGTCCCAGTTGCCAGGCAGGCGTTTGTGAGGACTGTGGAAGCCCAGGAAGTGGTCCACCGTAGGCACGCAGCACCTCAGAGCCGGGGATGAAACTCAGAATAAGGGGGGAGAAATGAGAGCTCCATAACTGAACACTAGAAAACTAAACCTGCGCACCGGGAAAGGAAAGGAAGTAACTTGTACTCATGAAGAATCCAGAGTAGGGTTGTTCCACTGAAAATCAAAGTGTTCAAGAGGAAAACATCCACTGTGAATTAGGGAAGCTTTACTATAACACGTGTCTTTGTTATTGAGAGTAACTTGCAGAAGGTTTGCATTTTTTTTCTAAAGACAAGAGAATAGTTAGAACTCTTGCCAATGAAGAAAAACTCTTTTATAATAATCTGAAATGATGCTCAAAGTTCTAACAGTAAAACTCATGTATATTGTGTATGTGGGGCCATTGGGAGATGTGGTAAGAAGATATTGAGGGGATCATTTCATTTCCATAAGTGTACACATAGCATGTGAAATGTTTATGTTTTTGTATTTGTAGGTCTTAGGAGATGACATGGCAATGTCGGTGGTTTTATCTCAGCCTATTAAACTTACTTTTTAAAAAATGAATTGACTTTGCCTATAAAAGAAAAGTCTCCTCCTGGGAGAATTTTACTTATATGCGTGTATACTTATGGGACTGTCTGTCACATAAAACGTAAGGGTTATGATGTTGCCCACAAATAATAAGTGAGGCTGTTTTTCCTATTAAGCAACTTATTGGAATTAAAAGGGAAAAACAAACAAATGCCTCTGTAATAGACTTTATTATTTATCTTTTCATTAATGTATAGTGTTCCATTGTGTTGCAATATTTTGTTGTTCCTATTCCAGGAAATTGAGAAGGATGAGTGGTTTGTTTTCTTTGCGTGTGTGTGTGTGTAGTTTGTGCATTCCTCCCCTGTATTGTTTCTGCCTACTGATTTGATTAGTGACCAAGTTCATGACTGATGTTATTAAGTTTGCTTTTAATGATTTATATAATAGCTACCCCCATGAGAAAAAAACAACCCAAGAACCCACATGTCCAGAGACATGACTGGACTGGGTGTGTAATGAATGGAAACGTGGCAAACACAGCTGGCACTGAATTTAGGTCTCTTTCTGTTTCCCAGTATTGCAAAGGTGGTGGTGGCTGGGGTGGCATTTGAGGGTCACTCAGAATCCCTGAAGCAGGTTGAATCCCTTTCCTGAAGGCTGTTGTCACCTGTGCCACTGTCTCAGGGTGTAGCCATTTCTAGGGACACGCTGGTTCTGTTTGAGATGGCATCACAGTGTTTCACAATCCTGACTTGCACTATTTTGAGGCTGCCGCCCCAGAAGCAGAGTTTTCCAGGATGAGTGTGTGCACATGTGATCCGATGAGGCAGGTCATTTCTAAATCTCGTTGTGGAATCTCAGACACTCGGGAAGATTTTAAGAGAAAGTGCAGTAAAAGTGTTATTATCCCTGGGTTTGGCTGTGACAAGAGGAAACCAAGAAATGAAATCAGAACAAAGTAAAATGACATGTTGAATGGGATTTCAAAATGAACTTTGTAGGGAAGCTTTTAAAGATAATTTGGCTTTGGTTAGAGGGAGTTCCATGCACTGTTTTGATGAAAAAGTGAGTCTACATTAACTTGTGAGAGATTAAGGTGACTAATAGGTATTTGTCATTTAAGTTTCTCTAGTCAGCGTCCTTGCATCTAACATGCATCCTTCTGCTCAAAGACTAAAATGCAACCAGTGAGCACACTGCCCTGTCTGGGAGCCTAGCTCCTACCTAATTGAAGTGCAAAAATAAACACACAACACAGCCGCCGAGGAGCAGCTTAGCCTCCTCATGGTTAACAGGCAGTGCTACAGAAAACAGACTCATCTGAACATGTCATTTTGGTTTTGAAAGGGTCTCTTTAACATTCCCCTCCTCCTCCTCGTTCACCTCGAGGCTTTTGACACCCGTTTCCACAATGGAAAATGGCTCTTTTAAGACAGCGACAGTTCTCAAAAGAACACAAAGGAGGCCACAGCCAGAGCTTGCCCATCACTTGGTTAAAACAGTGGGAAATGATAGAGCTCAGAGCTACCTCTCCAAGGTAGGGATCAAAGAGAGAATGGCCACGAGGGAATTGAATTCAGAGGAGAGAGTAGGCGGCTTATTCTCTGACTGATTTATTTGGCCAGTTTGAATATAAACGGTTAAACCGCTGCTTAATAATTACTTACCCTGTTTGTAAGGACGTTGGTGCAGCCTGGTCGTTATGTCAAAGAATTGGAAATTTCCAGATAGTCAATAAAGCCATCCCAGGGCTCTGAAAGAAGAGGGATGTGTAAAAACTACTCTGCCACACACCCTCCCCTTATTTTTATCATTTGCTTTACTTTCTATCATGAGGCGAGGTGATATTCTGTCCAGAAGCCTTTCCCAGGCTGTGGAAAAGACAACAACGAAAAGGTTAGTGGCATATGTCCCGTGTCCAGCTTCTACTTGACGAACGGTCCTTTCTTTGTTCCTCTCGCCTGCATTTCACAGTCCTCATGCCCAAGCAGCTTTCCCCTTTCCCCGCGTGCTGGACACAGTCCTTGAAAGGAGCCCGTCATCAAGGGAATCCAATTTATAAACATGCCGTGTAGCTGCACTCTTGCTCGTATTTACAAACGTGGCTCTCAGGACATTTGAGCTTGGCCCAGAGATGTTCCCTGTTGTAAAAATGCAAACCCCTTACCTCCCTTGTTGCTGCTGTGTTGACGTTGATTACAAAAAAAACATGAGAAAGGGCCATTGTGATAGTGTAGATGAGAGAGATAAAAGTCAGTGATGACGATATTGCATTTTACGTATGTCCTTTCTGATCGTCGCAAAATAAAGGGACCCTTTGGGAACATCGGAACTTCAAGACCAATTAGTGGAAACGATGCTTCTTGTGTTTGGGCATTAAATACTGGGCAGGGTTCTCTTTAGAGCGGCTGACGCTGGCAGGGAAAGAGGTACCGACCTAATTACTCTCACGCAAGAGTGAAAAATGCCTTTTGAATGCCTCTTTGGCAAATGTGTCTCATTAAGGACAAAACCAAACGCAAACCCTCTAAGAAGGAGAAATGAAGATGATAGGTAACTTGTGGCCAGGAGACTTTCTGTGTCACTGTGGGAAATGAAAACAAAGTTTGGGAGCATCAGGGGATAACCTGCTTTTGTTGAGCTTCTTCCCTGCTGCCTAAATGTTATTATTACGCGACCAACTTTATTTTCCTCATCTTTTTGGCTCTTTGTCAAGGAATGCTTTGCTCCTGGGGAAAGCAAAGACTCTCCATCCCCAAAGACAATGGAGATGCTCTTGCTCCATCTCAGCAGGGCGCCTGACCAAGCAAAGCAAGAAATTCTCCATTTGAAACTCTGGTCGTAATAGCAATTTAATTTTCATGGTGACCAAATGGGAAAATGAGAAATGAACAATAATGTCCTTTTAAAAGATTTTCTTTGTAGTTTAAAGCAAACTTGAATATTTTAAATTTCTAATTTTTTTCTTTATTATTGCTAAATTATCCCCCATTAGCAGGTCTTTAGCCAAGATGGACAAATTTTGCGATTAGTATATGATACTTATAAAAGCAGGCTACCGGTCTACTTAAAAATCCTGAATCCTGGGTGTGTGTTTCCCCCGCGTCGTATGATTAATAGCATTGATCTTACCGATGCGTTTCTCTTACCTGGTCATTCTCACGAACAGGATGTCTGTTTATGACATTCTAATCTGCCGTAGGGTCCCTATAGGTGCCCAACAAAATCAAGAGGATTAACTACTTTCATTTTATACAGTAACCAGTTGAGATAATCCAGAACAGATCAACAGCAACGGGTGTTGATTATGGCAGAACTCTACGGTGGGGTGCCCGGATTTACATTTCTAAACTACCTACCTCAGTGAGCTTGTTCAACACCCAAATACGGTCACGTTCATTGCAGGTCATGGTTATTACTAAGTGTAAAATGTGTCACTGGGCCCTACCTAGGATTATAACAACTATCATTCATTCAATAATTCATTCATATATATATACGTATATATATATATATATATATATATATATATATATA